GTCGTCCGCCCACCCGCAGCCGGTAGCTGGCGGCGGCCGATACCGGCCATTACGCGCCGTGATTACATCGGGCAGCGGCGGCGCCTGCAGAGGTGGCTGCGGGGCGGCGGGGAGGGAGGAACGGACGGCGGCGGCTGCAGAGGTGGCTGCGGGCGGGGAGCGAGGAGCGGACGGACGGCCGCCGCATCGGACCGGAACGCGCCTCTGAGGCGGACCGCCGGCCCGGAACGGACGCCAAATCCCGATACACAGCCGCCTAACTGGACTGTCCCTGTCCGGGGATGAACCGGCCGGGAGAGCGGCGCCCCGTCATCACAGCGGCACGGTCCGACGAGCCCTGAGGTCCATCGATCCCGGGCGATCCGACTTTATTTCTATGGATCCGACAGTCCCAGGCGGTCCGGCAGGCATTGTGCTCTACTGGTCCTTGAGACCGTAGTCCGATGGCTATGGTCCAGTCCGACGGTCTAATAGTGGGACCGACGTTCTGCGAGCACCTGCACAGTGCACGCACCTCTGTGTCACCGACTGGCTGCAGGTGGTGGGTCACGGCCGGCCGACTAGTCACTATCGGCTGAGCAGCGCCTCGTGCCAGTCCGTCTCTGTAAGATGGCATCCCCATGTGAGAGGAATCGTGAACAGATGCACGTCACGCGCTCCCAGTGGGCCATCGATTGTCGCATAACTGCTAAAAACCAACTCTGGAACTGTCATCGCGGGCAGGCTGACTTGTGTCCTCTCACTACAAAGGATAGCTGTCGGAGTGGTCAGATACTGACCTACTGCTGCCGGGGATAACTCCGTCTGTGCTCTAGACAAGAAGCAGCAGCACCGGACCCACCACCGCCCGGGCGCTGGTCCTACCCGAGGTCCCGGAGGTTCCTGCAGTTACTGCACGTTCTGCGCGCACCAGCTGTGAACAGTGCACGCGCCGAGCTCAGGGCGGGGCGAGAACGGCGCGGAGCGCACCCAGCCGTCCCAGGAGCGGCACATGCGTGACCGATGGGTGCCGGCGCCTCACCGCAGCGCGCCGCGCGCCGCAGAAACCCACCGGACAGGGACGCCGGTGCAGAATGTATGGGCGGTGACAACCCGGCGGGCCGCGGCCAGGTAGACCACAGAGCCCACTGTATCTGCGAGTACGGCTACTTTAGTTGTTATCCACAATCCTTCGGTATGATTAAACATTATAAGTTATAGCAAGTAACTTATGCATGCTCTTCAACGAAATCGCAGTTTAAACACCTCGTCAATCTTCCGTTGGCGAGCGATTCTACGGTCCGCCGATTCGGTCGTAGCCCCGGAGACTGCAGGCTCCGCTGGGTGGGAACAGCCGCGCCCGCCCGCGCCGTATATCGCACGCGGGCACCCATCGTGACTAGCATCGCACATCATATCGTCGATACGCCGCCACAATATCCGCAACGCCGACCAAGTCTCACGGCGGGAGTCGAAACGGAAACGGCCGCGCCGCGCTCAGTGCAGACACTATCGGTGTAATGCACCCGCGGCCGACAGCAGCCTGGCGGCACGAATCACCCCCAGTACCGCACTCAGTGATTGAATGAGGAGCGGCATCAGTGCAGCGGCGAGAAGCAGAGGCCGAGATACGAAACGAGCTACCGGCCGTGTTTGGGGAACCGACGGGTAATTTCAATGTCGAAAGCTACCCGGCTAATCGTTAGTTAAAATGATGCATTACAGATAAAAAGCCCTGCTTAAATAAAAAGGCATCCTTAACCATGCCGAACGGCTAACTGACATACGCTCGACAACCACATCGCAGACTACAGGGTCCTGCATAAGTTTTGTCGTATAAAAAAAAATGTGTTATCCAAGTTGCTCTATAAGAGGCAGCGATGCTTTTCAACGTTCAGTAATTCCCCACGAACAGGGATTTGTTCGCAATTTGGTACGCTGGCGACCAGGTTGGCAGCACAGACGGCTTGATTTTTTACCATGCCCGTTTGAGCTGTAACGGCAAGGCGCTGAGGCTGACCGCCGGCTTCTGTTTGTCCAAGTCTGGCTGGACGATATCCTTAAGTTCCTCGATCAGGATAAGGTCTATGTAGATGGTAGCCGGCATGACCCCTCCTTCCTCCAGAGCTACGGCAGGTTCGATTCGTACCACCGCTGGACCTTGGCAGAGCGATGAGCTGGCACGCCGTCCTGCGTGAAAATGCATATCGACCTGTCATCGACCATCCCTCGACTGAGCTGCTGGAGGCTCTTGTAGATAATGAGCCTCAGGGAGCTCTTCCAATAGCGTCTCACGATCCTCTCCGGAGACAGGATAGCCCGTGCGCGTAAGCTTGGCCACTTTTGTCACCAATTGCCTCCTCTAACCTCTAACCGGCCGCCTTTTTCAATGTGATCTCAGTCACCATGGGCGTAGGAACGGCTGGAACATTGTGGGTGCATGGGTGCAGATATCCAGCCATGGCCAAGCGGGGGGGGGGGGGGGGGGGTAGGGAGCGACACCCGAGCGAAGGCTCGTTACGAGTTACGAGCTTTGAGGGGGGTGTATACTGTATACCATGTCGAAAAGGTAGCGACCGATTACCGATAAGTGCATTTGGAAGCATTATTTCCCTGGCATGTGTAGGGGGTTCGGATGAGCCCCCCATGGTTTTTTCGCAAATAACTCTCGCAAAAAGCGGCCGATCGCGACGAAACTTTAAGTACCCTCGAGTTGATCAGTTTTACACCTACTCTGAAAATTTCATGACCCTGACCCAAAAGACCTTTGACCTGTGACCTGATGCTCGAGACCATGTTCGGCCGGAATCGCGATTTGGCGTAGGTATGTCAGCTCACATTATCGGCGCGTTTCCAGTCTTTTTGTGATTGTAGACGTCCAAACATGTGAAATGATGTTCGTTCCATGCATCACGGTGGGTGTGAAGGTCACCTGAAGGTCAGGTCAGGTCATTGACCTTTGATGACCTCGATTCACTTTTTCGAGTACTACATGTTCTAGAGTAGTTTTCGGGCTGATTTCGAATTTAGCATCCATTTGAACGTTACCGAAGTAGTTTTAGTGCCTTCGTAACATGCTACGACGCCGTCAGTGGTAGTTGACACCTACTATGGATAGCCGGTAGGACGCCTAATGGTTGACCTGACCTGACCTGACCCGATCTGGCCTAAATGCATGAAGAAATCATCTGTGATCAAAACTAACAGGATATTCGTGATCAGCACCCCGAAAAACCCGATAACAGCTTCACTTTACGCAGTTCTAGCAGGTCCCGATTTTCCCGACTTTTGGAACATTGACCTGACCTGGAAGGTCAACCAATGACCTAGGACCTTAAAATTGGGTATCATTCATCGGCTTCCTCTCGTCACGGGCAACCCCCTCGTTTTTTTTCCCGCGAAGCTCTAGCTCGATCAGCCCCTACCCCCCCCCCCCCCCCCCTACACATTAGAAGCTGGAAAACGCCGCACACATGTGAGGGTTAATATTGTCAATATTGACTACCGCAAAAAGTAAAAGCGGCCAACTTAGCCATTTTCGAAGATATCGGGCTAAAAATTTTGACAGTGGATCATCGGCTCGGTATGTGTTCAATCACATGCTCCATTTCCTTTTTTTCAGCACAAATGTAAGTTTTGAAGACCATCACAAAAGCAAATGCTTCAAAAGATGGATAGTTGGCAACATATCCTGAATTTGCCGTGCTGCATGGAAAGTAGTGTTGATGAGAAAAGGGGTTTTTGGTTCAGATTATTGTGGTAGCAGAATACATTGTCTGCACCCACTGGAGAAATATTGTGGGTGCAGCTGCGCCCTTGCACCCATGGTTCCTACGCTTATGTCAGTCACGGTCGAACTGGCGGGCGAACGCCCGATCCGGGACGATCGGCAGCGCTGCCAGTAGCCGTATGCTTTTCCACCAACGCCGGACTGTGAAAACTGCAGGCAGATGTCTCAACTGGTCAGCAATGGCAAGCTGTGTCATTTCGGCCTGCGAGCATGCCAACTGTCTGGTTCACCTCCCCGATAAAAAAATCTGACCTTCATTTTGCGACACGGCCGTTCGTGTGGATTTGTGTAAAATTTGTGTAAAACTGGCCCTGGCCCTAACTAGCTCGGTGATCCATGACCCGAGGTCCGTTCACGACATCTTGTCCCGTGGCCAAGGGTCCTGTCACCTCACAACGCAGGGGTGCAACCAGAACCGTTATCCCTTAGGGATAGAAACGATTAGGAAGCGGTGTTATAAGTAGAGGACAAAACTTTTCCTGGACCATGGAGCTGGAACTGCTGTGGCAAAATGAACGAATACTTCACATCGACTTCAACGGACAAATGCCGCGAGCTATAAACATATGACCTTTTTTCGCAGTTTTACCACTTATCACTACACATAATTATTGGTTTCGTTTAGCGACTTACAATACGGCACACGGCAAGTGATCCGATCGGGTATCTGCTTCAGCGAAAGCCGTATCAGCACTGGGGGCAAACAGCTGAATCTGGCTGCCAAGACCTGCCAATGTGCACAGTCTCGATGGCGTGTTCTTCCAACCACAGCCTCAGTCTCTCAGTCTCAGGCTCCCAGTTCCGTGCTCGAATCACGTAAGCACGCAGAAAACATTCACCTGGTCACAGACTTCTGGATATTGTCCAGGTCTCGAAGTGTTCAGTTATGTCCCATGGGTCTCACGGGAACACGCTGCAGCCGGGGATCTTGAAGCAGGCTCAACAGGCTTCAATGTTTATTTAACAACGCCGACGGTGTTACACCTCAGCGCCTCAGTCACTGCACCTAGCAGGAAAGGCGTCCGGCTGGTCGTTGGCCGCTAACGGAGGAGCCGTCTCCCCGGTCGGCAGTGAGCGATGACCACCGGCGACCGCCCACCACACGCGGCGTCCACTCTCAGCCGATCCGCTTCGACGGCCGCCCGCTCACCGTATCGTGACTTGTCACATCGCAAAGCCGACAGATGTTTGCCAAATGGTCTGTTTGACCACTCTCGCCTCTCTCCGACAGGTGTCGCCACTAGCGCCGTCAGCCGGCCGCCGTACGAAGCTCAGTTGCTCGGCGCTCCGCCGGGCGGCGCCACCGGCGGACCATGCTGACCAGCCGGCCCGTGTCGGACGGCTACAGTTTCCGGCTGGACGCTGACTCGTCCAGCACCTACTCGGACTCGAGCAGCTCCGTCTACAAGCAGCGGATCGACTCCCTGTTCCGACCGGCCGCCGCCGCCGCAGCAGCCGCCGCCACCACCAGCTCCTCACACAGCGATTACGAGCCCGTGGAGGCGCCGCCGGAGCGGAAACAGCCGCCGCCGCCACCGCCCCCGCCGCGCGTGGTGCCGGCGCGCCCGACCACGACCACCCTGTGGTCCCCTCCAGGCGGCGGCGGTGGTCCCGGGGGTCAGACCGGCGGGCCCGTGGGTCAGACAGGTGGTCCCAGAGGTCAGGCCGGCGGCCCCGGAGGTCAGGCAGGCGCCCTGGTGCCGGTCAGCAGCTCTGCACCCCTCTGGACCCGGCCGGTCGTCACACCCGGTCCCACAGAGGCGGCCGTCGGCCGGCCCAGCCACGGCACAGAGTTCGCAGTGGAATACCTGGGCGCCGTGCAGGTGGCCGACAACGCCACGCGTCTGGAGCAGCTGCAGCAGCCGCTGAAGCGTCTGTACGTGCCGCGGCTGCGGCGGAGGCGCGCCGCGCAGCTCTCTGACTCGCTGTCCATCAGCGACACCGGGCTGCGGGTCCGCTACGGGCGCGACCAGGAGCTGCTCAACCCCTTCACCACAGTGGCCGTGTGGGCAGCCGTCAAGTTCGTGGCCAGTCGCGGCGGCGGCGGCGGCCGGCTGCGGTTCGGCTTCCTGCCACTCATCTGCGACCCGGAGAGTCCCGAGCGCGGCCGGCTGCTCGATGATGACGAGGGCAGCCTGCCGGCGGACGCGCCGGCAGCGCGCCACCCGCCGCTGCTCGCCTGCGTGATGCGCCGGCCCGGCACGCTGGGCGCCCTCGAGTGCCACGGGTTCGTGTGCGCCGCCGCCGAGGACGCCATCGTGATCGCCGCCAACCTGTACCAGGCGCTGCTGATGCGGATGCAGCCGGAGGCGGGCAGCGGCGGCCGCCGGCAGCCGCGGCCCGCCGACGCGCCCATCCTGGTCAGCGGCAGCGGCGGCTCCGGCTCTGAGGACGCACTGGGGCCGGCCCGGCGGCAGCGACGGCGGCGCGCCCCGCCCCCGCCGCCCGGCCCGCCCAGCCGACAGGACGCAGTGCGCCGCTCCGACCGCCGGTCAAACAGAGGGGCCTCGCTAGGGGAGCAGATAGACCCGGAGCGTCCCCACAGCTCCAGCAGGAGCCGCAGCCGGGACCACAGCCGAGACCACAGCCGGGAGAGCGGTCTCAGCCGGGACCAGAGCCGGGACCACAGCCGGGACCAGAGCCGAGAGAGCGGTCTCAGCCGCGACAGTAGCCGAGATAGTCTGCGGCGGCACGGTGAGCTGAGCCGGGACAGGAGTCGGGAGAGCGTGCGACGACGCGAGTTCCAGAGGAGCAGCAGTCGGGAGAGCGTACGAAGGAAAGAGTTTCAGAGGAGCAGCAGCAGGGACAGTGTACGGAGGAAGGAGTTTCAGAGGAGCAGCAGCAGAGAAAGCATGCGCAGACGCGAAGAGCTGAGTCCCGACAACAGCCGAGAGAGCATGCACCCGAAACAGTTCTACCGGGGCAGCAGCAGCAGGGGGAGCTCGCGCGGCCGAGGGTTCGAGCGGGACCCGAGTAGGGAGAGTGTCCGCAGCCGGGCGCGGGACGCAGCGCCCAGTGACGGCTCGCTGCGCCGGCGGACGGGCAGCGTGGGCGCCGTGCCGGCTCTGGTGGCTGCCGCCGCCGAGGCCGCCCGGCAGAGGGAGCCGGCGGCCGGCGGCGGCCGGCGGCTGGCCCGCAGCTCGTCCGACCCGAGCCGCAGCGCGCTGCAGGTGGTGAGCTCGTCGGCCGACCGGCGACCGCCGCCGGCGGCGCCCGACCCGGCCGTGGACCTGGGACAGCTGCTGGCGCACCTACAACAGCGCGACGGCATCCGCACCGTGGATGACGTGCTGCGCCGGGTGATCGCGCCCGGCGGCATGTCGTTCAGCGAGCTGCGGCCCGAGCACCGCGAGCTACTCCTCCGGCTGGCGCTCACACTCAGCAAGGACGAGATGTACCAGCGCAGCAAGAGCATCATGAAGAAGCAGACGCGCAAGGGGGCGCTCTTCAGCAGCGAGAGCGAGACCAGCACGTCCGACGGCAGCAGCACCATCAGCAACGTGCTCAAGGCCACCAAAAAGTCGCTGTCGCGGTTCGGCTGGCGGACGGGCGGCTTCCAGTCCCCGTCAGCCTACCTCAAACAGCACACGCCGTTCGGAAAGCTCTACAACGCCCGCGGAAACGCCAAGCAAAAGGAGACCGCCGCCAAGAGTCTGGCCGACGAGTTCCCTGCCAAGATATCTGGCTCGGTGTCGGCCGACAGCGAGCCGGCCCCCGACCGGTCGCGGCGGAGGACGCAGCGCCGCTCCCCGGCCCGCTGCGGCTGTGATCGGGACGCGGACCGCTTCGACTCCCCGCGCGGCGGGGGCGAGCGCCGGCCGTCTCGCTCGCTGATCGAGCTGCCGCTGACCTGTGACGCTGACAGCTGCTCGGGCAGCGACCGCTGCTACTGCTCGCTGCAGCGCGGCGCCTCGGCCGACGAGGCCGACAGGGAGCGGGCGGAGCGGCGCCGCAGCGCGGCCGACCTGCTATCGGAGCGGGCCCGTCGGCAGCAGCCGCGCGGCGCCTCCACCGGGGAGTCGAGCGGCGGCAGCAGCGGCGGCCGCGGCCACCGGCGGCGCGGTGGCCGGGCCACCTCGCTGTCACGAGCCGGCAGCACAGACACCGGCATCGGCTCGGCGGCCGATGACGGAGGCGGCGGCGGCGGCCGGTTTCTGGTGGTCTCGGCGGCCGACGAGGCGGGCCGGGTGTTCCACCGCGGCGGCTCGCAGCGCCGGCGAGAGCAGGACGTGCTCACGCTGAAGAAGAGTACCGAGATTGCGGCTACTTTCTCCGGACTGCGGCTGAGTCAGACCACCAACCTGCTGAGCAGCGGCGGCAGCGGCAGCGGCAGCGACAGCGAGCCGGAGCCGGCCGGCCGCCGGCTGCGGCACGGCTACTCGGACCAGGACATCGAGGACTCGCTCGGCTACCTGCCCTGACCGGTGGCGGCCACAGCGGCACACCGGGGAGGGCGACTGGGCGAGCAGAACCTCAGGGTGACAGGCGGCGGCCGAGTCCGGTCACAGCAGTCGGCAGGCGGGGTAGACTGAGCCGTGTGGATTGTTGTAGCCGTTGTTAAAAAGAGGGCCCAATATGATAGCTACTTCTGCTATAGTAAGGAAAATGCGGCGCTATCGTGTTCGTTAGCATTGTTTATTGATGAGATGTTGGATGGAAGTTGTGCGAAAGTGATTCGTAGATCACGATATAAAGTAACTGTGAGATTGAGGTTGGGCTATGGTTGAACGATAATGAAATGTCTTACGCCTTAGGTGTTTCTATGTGACTGCAATGAGAGCACTGAGGGATGATCAGCAGTCGATGGCCAACCATTTTTCCTACAGAGGTTAACCCGCGCACCGACGGGGGTCTGCGCCAACTTAGTACCGACGGGGGGGGGGGCGGATGACCGCCCCCCCCTGAGATCTCGAGAACGAAGCAAGATAGCGACAAGCGGTAAACGGCATCGGATACGCACGGACAAGGTCTACAATTTTTACTAAGGTCATTTTCAGGTCAGGTCAAAGATGACGTCACAGGGGTCGAAAAAGTCAAAATGGCGGCGCTAGATATGGAGAGGGTTTTTCTCGAATAACTTTCGAAGTAGTCAAGATAGGAACAAACTAAGGGCATCATCGTGATCCTCTCGTCAATCCGCATCGAATGATATATATGTTGACCTCGAAAGGTCAAGGTCAAAGGTTGACCTCAGGTCACGTGACCTTGAGGTCATCATGTATATCATTCGATGCGTCTTGACGAGCTGAACACAATGAGACCATCTGCGCGGCTGTATCTTGTTCCTGTAAGGAGTTATTGGCAAAAAACCTTTGGTGACCTTTGATGACGTCACATGACCTTACAGCTGCCCAACAGCAAAACAGACCTCAAGGTAGTGAAGGTTGATCGTATGTGAAGTCATGTATGGTATATGGGGCCATTCCGACCCGTTTTAGTGGTAAAAACAGGGAGTTGATTTTTCCCCCATTGACTTATAATGGGGAGGTCGCGAAATTGACCTGACCTTAGGTCACCGACATCAAAATTCCGAGATATACAAATTGTAGCTACTAATGACCTAATAACATCCTGCGACTTTCAAAGGCCTCCGACATCTACTGTAGCTCTGGCACGGTGACAAAGTTGCAAAAAAAGTGACTTGAGGTTGGGTCATTCAAAGTGACCTGGTGACCTGACCTTAAAAGTTAGGAGGTTCAAACTTGCACACCATGTGTAAAATTGATGAGAGAATAGTCATACCAAATTTCGCGGCGCTACGCGCCGCGGTTTTCCCGCTATCCGCGAAAAACCTCAGGGGGGCGGATATCCGCCCCCCCCCCGTCGGTGCGCGGGTTAAAAGAGCATGCAATTGCAGGAAGTCAGACGAGATGTCCGAACTGCGAAATGCAAATGCTGTTGTTATTGCTTAAATACATATTTAAACGTTGAGACCATTTTTCGACTCTTTGCTTCATGTCGAAGTTAGAGCCATTACCTAGACACGTGCAATTTCGGTCCATGGTGCATGCCTGTCCCACCACTTCAATGAAGGATTACGTGACGGAAAACTCACGAGGTCTGAAAAGTCTCAGAATCTTGTTCGAGTTGGTTCGAGTTCGAAGAAATAGGGGTCCCAAACCAGTCCCAAACCTAATTCAATATACCCTGATCCCAAACGCATAACGAACGAAAGCCCTGAAACAGCTCGCGAGCAAATCGCCGTCCGACTCCAAGACAATCAAACCATTGCCTCATCCCACGCGCTGAAAACACATTATCCGGTCATAAATTCACAGTAAATTGGCCCAACAAACGTGCATCCGAGTCCCAACCAAGTAACAACGAGCTCCGATACTACCAATACTAGCCCGAGCGCTCCCACCACCTTGAAGACCGGGGCCGGAGCCCGCCACCCCAACCGGCCACAATGGCCAGCGAGGAGCAGCTGCAGACCGTCAACGCGGTGGCGCACTTTGAGACGTACGAGGCCTACCTGGACTCGATCGCCTCCTGGCAGGACATGTTCTACCTGGAGGACCAGACGCTGGCCCGTGCCGTCGTCGAGCTCGGCTACCGCGGCACGGCTGAGTTCATGCGCCGCAGGGAGTTCGATGAGAAGCGCGCCGAGTACGAGGCGTCCAAGGTGAGCCGCGACGCGCGTGAGGACGCCCTGGCCTCGGACGGCCTGCTGCTGGAGGACCCGCTGCTGCGCGCGCTGGCCGACCGCGAGGCGGCCAACCGCGACGGCAGCCTCACCACCGTCATCTTCCTGCGGAATCTCAACGAGCGAAACCAGGAGATCTCCGGCTACGTCGACTACGCGCAGCGGCTCAAGACGGACGACTTCTCAGAGTACTTCAGTGGCCGGGCGCGCCTGATGCCGCGGCTCAGCGATATGGCCTATTTCAACTGGAAGACGCAGCACGCGCGCTGCAACAACACGCCCAACTGGCAGGTCCTCTCAGAGAGCGTGCACGGACTGGTGTTCAAGTCGCGCCGCGACCGCAAGGTGGTGAGCGTGGACCCGCGGGTCGAGTCTCCCGGCGACAGTTCGACGCGCAGCCTGGTCTCGTCGCCCAATTACACGCAGGTGGTGCTGTATGACCACGTCATCAGACAGAAAATATAGGGGCGCAGAGACAGTCAACGCGGCCCGCCCAGACAGCCAGTGCTTGGCGGTGGTGAGAAACAATTACTGACGGTTGTAGTTGTTCGACCATGATGTCATAGCTGAAGTTTCAGTGTCTGTTTAAGAAAGTCCCTCGACCTTTTTCACACTCCCAATTGCTCTAACAATTTTCGCCTTATTTTTTAGCGAAATGCAGTACAGCTGCGCAGATAAACGAATTTTCACTAAAGTGAATGCCCAAGAAGCGTGCGAATAGACAGGGAAGGCGGAGGGCGAGCATTCTATGAAGGAAAGCAAGATAAGAAGTGCGACGTTGAGAAAACAAAGCAATGAGAGTAAAGATGGGCTCTAACTACGAAATAATGCGTTTTTTTTTCTTATTACCTACACTGTCGTACACATTCACAAAGCAAGCGCACTAGCTCTAAGACTGATATGGCTGCATTTAGTGCGGATCAGAGGGGCCGCTTGCCTGTTATCTACCGGCGCCGGACGGACGACTGACCCCCAGGGCGGACCTGCAACAGGAGAACACGCCTTTAAAATCTCTGGAGTGTAATTGAGTGATGTAATGAAGAACCAGCACTCATATAACACAAGGACAAGCACGTTAACAGTTAGGTTTAATTAACAAATTTAGTTAAAAAGAAGTGTCTGTAGCATAAACATTTCAACACAGGACCCAGTGACGGGGCCGAGTCGTTTCCCGGTATGCACGTCTGCTGCTGTAGCAAGGAAAAGATGAGCACCATCCCAGTCTTACCGGAGGTGACCCTTGAAGCCTTGCATCACGACATTAACACACGTCGTGACGCCGGAGTCGAACACTCACCTGGTCGCGAGTCCGGGCGAGGTCGTCAGTCCGCAGACGCCGGGTCCGCTCTGCAGGCAGTGGAGGTCGGTAGCTGCACTCTGCCGCTGGGTATGATACGGCACAGGCAGCGCCCGCTGTAGCCGCGTTACGTCCGAGCCCTGGTTAACGGCACGGCGCTACCCGGCGCTGCCAGGGGTTGGCGCTGGGTTTTCATAAGAATTAACCGAATCAACAAGGTTGTTTACGTTTCCATGGATACCGAGCGCCAATGCGTGGCAGCGGCGGGCAGCGGCGTGCCGTGATACAGGGCCCTGGTGCGGTAGGTGGGTTAAAGAGGAGAGCAGAACGGTCGGCAGACTCACTGACCCGTGTCAGCTATCCGAGGGAGCCACATCAAACATGTCAAATGAAACGCCCGAAAATGTAAACGGAGCAAATCTATAAATCTATATACTATATATGGCCTTGGAGCAAATGCTGGATCATTGGTAGCAAAAACTCGCACACAATATCATGCAACTGCCCCGTCTAATGAGGTGAAATTACAGGGTGTCACATCCGTTTTGCAACTGCAACGGTGATCTTCTTGTAGCACTAGGCAGAAAGCACTATTCGCCACTCGGATCGTTTGCGGATGTTGCGACGACAACTGACTGATTTCCCTTACAGAGACTGCTCACCGGGTGCTTACAGTCAGGCGCGGTGAGCAGTCGCCGTAAGAGAGGTCGGCCACAGGCTGCAGGTCACCGAACGGGTCTCGCGGCCAGAGAATGGGCCCTCAGGCGCTATTGGATTACCGAACACCGTTGTCACAGCAGAAAGTTGAACAGTCAGACCGCACCATCTCCGCCCGGCAAGGGCAGCTGTGTGTTGTTTTCGCTATTTCACGCAGCTTTCCGTGGGTTTGAGGTAAAAATAGATTTGTGACATCAGACATATAATGAAAACCAGTCCTGAGTCAAATACGTTGAAACATGTCAAGTCAATTCGACAAAAGAGTGGTCAAATACATTGATACACGTCGGGTGAGTTCGATAAAAAAATAATGAAGTAATAACCAACACCGGTATAAAGATGGTCTATATTGTCACACACAACAGACGGTACATATTACAACAGCTTGCAAAGGACTAGCGGCTACTTGTATGGCCAGGATTTGGGCGTCGCGTAGCCGCGGTACTTCTTCTTGTACTTTATAGAGGAGACCACTGTCGAACTTTTCGGGAAGGCAGTCACACCACCAAACTTAGTATCCGTTTCTGAAAGGAACCGATATTAAAAATTAAAAAGGACCCTGACAGCATTGAACATAGAAGTTATTTGACATAAGTCGCAAGCAGTATTCAAAACCTTAGATAAAGAAACCACAGGGACACCAAAGACAATTTGAGACATGTGTACTTGTACCCATGGGCTGATGATGTCAGGATTACGATGCGAAGTCGCCGGCCAGCACTCACCGGGGTGAAAGCGCAGGTACTCGAGCTGAACGTGTATGTTCTTGGGGAGTTCCTGTTCACTCAGCTGCTCCAGCGGAGTGCTGGTGGTCACCGGCTCCGAGTAGTACGAAATGACGTCACCTGAGTGAAATGAGGCGGGTGAGCGACACATGAAAATAACACCTGCATGTTAGTTCAGACACGCAGGTATTGGTTTAGCGTGGGCTTCTGTGTGTGAGTGACATGCTCGGAATTCGATTCGCATTGCATAAATCACTGTCTGCTTCCTATCGACTTTTAACGGGCAACGTACACGTTGCAATCAGTAACTTGCTTTAGAAACTTGACGATGATAACATTCGCACGAACTACTGTAGTCATCAGGGTCTATCATACACAATAAGTAGCGACTGTATTAATTGTGGCCTATCCTATCACAATTAATAGCGATGTAACGATGTCATATAGCACGCTGATGTAACGAGGCAATGTTGAATGTAAATTGTACAGTGCACCATTCACCTAGCCCGCGAGTTGCTGGGGGGGGGGCGTTAAACGCCCCCACTTTTTTCGCCGGGCCATAGCATAAAAACGGCGCGCCGCAGGCGCGCCAAATTTTTGGTACCTGTAGGGAATTGATTTAAGTCTATTGTGACAAAATTTTCAAAAAAATCGGTCGGAAAATTTTTGAAATATCGAGGTTTTAGTGACGTCATGATTTCTGAGTTTTCGACCAAAAACGGCATATGTTCAAAAAATCATATAAAATCACAGAATAGACATACAGACATGCCGTAAACGGCATTAGACTGCCAATACCATGAACAATCAAATGGCTATCTTCGATTATTGATTATCGTTTCCGCATTTTCCAAAATCTTGACTGAATCTTGGCAATTTCTCGTGACTACTTCACGACCATGATACATACATTTCTTAAATTGAACTTTTTGAGCCAAACACGTACACATATGATAAAATGAATGTCACCATCGTGTTCTACGCCCCAAATTACCCATAAAACATGTGTCACAGGCTGCGAATATCAGTTTTGATTTTCGGGGATATGTGCCTACCCGGTTGACCTGACCTTGACCTGACCTATGCTTAACTGACCCCTACATGGGGCTGACACTCTTGTAGGCCTTATATGATGGATTGTGCACCGTTTTGACAGAGTTTATGACGAGAGGCGCTCATTGCGAAGTCTTGAAGTCCATGCTACTGAAAGCCCGATTTCAGGTGTTTGACCTGACCTTGACCCGACCTGTGACCTCAAAATTCAACTTTAAAGTACTCATCTGAAGCGTCTCGTCGCGTTCTTTCGTTTGCCGCCTCGTGTGTTTCGCTGCGCCTATTGGTTCTCGAGTTATCGGCTGGGGGCGTTTAACGCCCCCCCCCCCAGCAAACGGTGGGTGGCGAAATACCCCAGCAACTGCCGGGCTAGCGTGGTCACGTTGTGCAGCACCACTCACCTAGCGTGGCGATGTTGTGCAGCACTACTCACCCAGCGTTGTGTGTACAGCACCACTCACCCAGCGTTGTGTGTGCACTGTGCAGCACCACTCACCCAGCGTTGTGATGTTTTACAGCACCACTCACCCCGGCGTGGCGATGTTGTGCAGCAGTAGCACCACTCACCCAGCGTGGTGATGTTGTGCAGCACCACTCACCCAGCGTGGTGATGTTGTGCAGCACACACTCACCCAGCGTTGTGCTGTTATGCAGCAGCACTCACTCAGCGTTGTGTGTACAGCACCACTCACCCAGCGCAGCGTTGTGATGTTGTGCAGCACCACTCACCCAGTGTGGTGATGTTGTGCAGCACCACTCACCCGCGTTTGTGTACGGCACCACTCACCCAGCGTGGTGATGTTTTACAGCACCACTCACTCACCCAGCGTTGTGTGTGCAGCACCACTCACCCAGCGTGGTGTGTGCAGCACCACTCACCCAGCGTGGTGATGTTGTGCAGCACCACTCACCCAGCGTGGTGATGTTGTGCAGCTGGCTGTTGGTGACGTGGTGCCCCAGCCGGTCGGCGCAGGCCGTCAGCAGCCGGTGTTTGGCGGCCAGGTCTCCGACGGCCGTGTGGGCGCCGGCGGCGGGACCCAGCACCGCCCGGAACACCTCCGACAGCTGTGAGTGGACGTCCACCGGCGGCTGGTACGGCCGCGACGGCCGCCGGTGGCTGCCGGCGGACAGATGTCAAGGATCAGCGGGGCGACAGAAAGCTGGCCGCAGGGGGAGGGGGGCAGATATCAGGTGTCAGAGGGGCGACAGACGGCCGGCCGCCGGTGGGGTGGCTGCCCGAGGAGGGGGGGGGGGGGGGGCAAGCTTCAGATATCAGGGGGGGCGACAGATAGCCGGCCGCCGGTGGCTGCCGGGGTGGGGGGGAGGGGCAAACATCAGATAGGTACCAGAGGGACGCGAGATAGAGCACAGTGACAGATGACAAGTAACATGAGTGGTTGGCAGTGTAAAAGGGACAGGGACAGGTGACAGGGAAAAGACACTGAGCAAGTGATGAGGCAGGTGACACGAACAGGTGACATGGTGACCTGGCAGAGAGAGGTGTCAGGAACAGAGCACAAGACTACATGACAGGGATAGATGGCACAAACTGGTCACAGGAAAGGTGACATAGACAGGTGACAGGGTCAGGTGACAGGTCACAGGACAGGTGACAAGGCAGGTGACAGGGTCAGGTGACATGTCACAAAACAGGTGACATAGACAGGTGACAGGGCCAGGTAACATGTCACAGAACAGGTGACAGGGCCAGGTGACATGTCACAGAACAGGTGACAGGGCCAGGTAACAGGTCACAGAACAGGTGACAGGGCCAGGTGACATGTCACAGAACAGGTGACATAGACAGGTGACAGGGCCAGGTGACATGAACAGATGACATGGTCAGGTGATAGGGACAGATGCTAGGGACTGGTGACAAAGACTGGGTAAGGAGGAACAGGTAACAGGACAGGACAGGGGACAGGACCAGTGACTGAACAGATGACAGGGATAGGTGATAGGTGTCAGGACAAGCAACAAGAATGGGTGATGGGGACCATGGTGACAGTGACAGGTGACAGGACAGGTGACAG